GAGGAAAGAATAGCCCCATAGAGTTTCTTCGTGTCTTTTTCGTTCTGGGTTTTTCCTCCTGAAGGGCAATGAAGCCGAAGGAGCGTTCCAAGATCCCAGTGATTTACAGGCTCTTTTCTGTTCAGCAGTGGCAGGCAGGGCACGGCGCGTCTGGGGCGGGCATGCAAATTTTAAAATGGCTGTTTCTCTCGGGACTTATGGAGCAAAAAAGGAAAATGAATATCCTCCGAAACAGTAACAATATTACTTAGGCAAGTTTTAAAATTTGGATAAAGATACACAGTTTCAACGTAGGAGAGAGAGTTATTGAGGGTGATATCTGTCACCCTGAGCTGAGGATGTGGTGGAGAAGGGTGCAGTGGACGATAGGTTAACTGTTTTGAGGCTGAGTTTAGTCTGTAAGATTCAGCTCGACAGTTTTTTTTTAAACCTTTATTCGGTGATAGAGTGTGTTTCAATGTTCGTTTTGGTTTCATTTATATGAGTGTTTTCTTTTTTTTTTCATTTCCTACGCTGTCCGCCCATTACAAAAGCAAGATTATCAGCGTATTTTCTTGTGGCTCTCAGCAGCGGGATTTTCAACGTGTGATCTTCACAAAAGCGACGGTGTCGTACCGTTTACGTTGGGCCTTCAGCATCTCAGAAGACGTTACCTCGCCGGGTAAGTCCGGTCGTCACGGCCTGTTAGCACCCTAGTATTTATTTAAGTTCACCGTGTGTTCCTTACTTTTACGCGTTTACATCTTCTTTTGGGCCCGTTGGCGCCGCTATTTTTACATTGGCCGCCCGTGCTTTACGTTTGCACGTTTACGTCGGATCATTGGCGTCTGTTAGCGCCGTCGTTTTTACATTGGCCGCCCGTGCTTACGTTTGCACGTTTACGTCGGATCATTGGCGTCTATTAGCGCCGCTGTTTTTACATTGCCGCCGGTGCTTTACGTTGCACGTTTACGTCGGATCATTGACTATTTAGCACCGTTGTTTTTAAAGCTGCCGCGCGTGCTTGGTAGAGCTTAGTTGCTTTCGTTTCACTTGGTTGCGGCGTGACGATCATTGAGTTAAAGATTACTGCACTCACATCGGGTCTCCATCAGTCTCCGTAATCTGACTGCTCTTTGTTATTACTTGGTTTACTCACATACAATATGCGGATTGTTCTGTTTAAGTTCAGCGCCCGTACTTCACTATCCCAAGTGGACTGCTTTTTCATTTACGTGTCTCCATCCAAGGCAGTATAACATTTTTCTATTCAAGTTTACCGCATGTGTTTCACTATCCAGAGTCGGACTGCTTTTGGATTTACGTGGCTCTGTGGGATGCGGTATGAAGATCGTTGCATTCAAGTTTGCCGCCTCTACTTAACTGTGCAGGGTCTGGACTGTAGTCAGATCTGTATGACAGATGTTACACTCGTTTTCTGCGGGTACGTCGCTATCCAGTCTATTTTTTCCATTAACGTGGCTGAGTCATATGTAGTATGAGTGTCAGAGACATTGGAACCCGAAGCGACCCTATTTGAGTGAGGGCTAGAAAAATGAGGCCGGGATTTACAGCGTGCATTCTCTGAAGGATATTCCTAGCTGTCAGATGTTTACGGTTAAGGAATAAATTAAGTTTTACTAAAGAGACCCAAGTGTCCAGATACCTGGATATCTGGAGAACAAAGGCGTTCCTAATTTTGCTTTAAAGATAGTAATAGGATTTTGTTTTTTTTTTTTTTTTTTTTGAGACGGAGTCTCGCTCTGTCACCCAGGCTGGAGTGCAGTGGCCGGATCTCAGCTCACTGCAAGCTCTGCCTCCCGGGTTTTTACGCCATTCTCCTGCCTCAGCCTCCCGAGTAGCTGGGACTACAGGCGCCCACCACCTCGCCCGGCTAGTTTTTTGTATTTTTTAGTAGAGACGGGGTTTCACCGTGTTAGCCAGGATGGTCTCGAACTCCTGACCTCGTGATCCGCCCGTCTCGGCCTCCCAAAGTGCTGGGATTACAGGCTTGAGCCATCGCGCCCGGCCAAGTCCCTGGTCTGACAATCAGGCTGCTCAGGAAAACAATCAGCTCCACAACTGCTTGCCAACTGGGGCACAGTTCCTGGTATTCCAGCAGTTCAGGCAGTAGTTCAACCTGACCCTATACATTCAGGCCAGGTTCAGCTATGCCCTGCTACTTGGGAAAGTTTTTCTTTTTTCTCTCTCTCCTTTTTTTTTTTTTGAGACGGAGTCTCGCTCTGTCACCCAGGCTGGAGTGCAGTGGCACGATCTCAGCTCACTGCAACGTCCACCTCCTGGGTTCACACCATTCTTCTGCCTCAGCCTCCCAAGTAGCTGGGACTACAGGCGCCTGCCACCATGCCCGGCTAATTTTTTTTGTTTTTTTAGTAGAGACAGGGTTTCACTGTGTTAGCCAGGATGGTCTCGATCTCCTGACCTTATGATCCACCCACCTCGGCCTCCCAAAGCGCTGGGATTACAGGCGTGAGCCACCGCGCCCGGCCAAGTTTTTCTTTTAAATATTTCAAAGCACCAGTGAAGCAGTATGGCACCAACTCCCCTTTTGTCCATTCTAAATTAAAAGCTCTAGCAGAAAATAAACACATTGGTGCCCTATGGAAAATTTTAGCAAAGTCAGTCTTATCTAAATCCTAATATTTACAGTTCAGGACTTGGTGGGTTGATGCTGTCTGTCCAGGAATGCATTCGTCTTAGGACTCTAATCCTTCTGTTAATGTTATGGCCAACCAATTACTGGCAATGGGCCAGTGGGCTGCAATTCAAAACCAAACTATACTAAATGATGAGGTTATTGAACAATTACAAAAATGTTACCTGGACGTTTGGGACAAAATTCAAGATGATGGCAAAGTATGCCCATCTTTTATGGCTGTCAGATAGGGACAACATGAACCCTATCCAGACTTTATTGCCCATCTTCAAGACGCAGCAAAACATGCTATCCCTGATAGCCACAGCCTTGTTGTAGAACTTTGGCTTACGAACAAGTAAATCCAGACTGTCAGGCGGCTATTTGCCCCATTAAAGGCAAAATTCAACTAGGGGTGATGTACTCACCTCATACATTAAAGCTTGTGAAGGCGTGGGGGAAACTCTGCATGCAGCAATGGTCATGGTACAAGCCATGGTCTCTATTCGAATGCCTGGACAATTTCCTGGCAAATGCTTTCCATGCGGCCAACCAGGACATTCTAAAAGAGATTGTCCTTGTCGTACAGGCCGCCATCCTTTTCAACATGGACAACCAAAATTTTTTCAACAACAAGCCCCACCTTCTACTGTATGCCCACGATGCCGAAAAGGAAATCACTGGGTGGTTCAATGCCACTGAAAATTTGATATTGATGGCAGTCCCTTACAGTCACTGAACAACCAGGGAACCGGGAAGAAGGGCCGGCCCCAGGCCCTTCCAAACAATGGGGCATTCCTCAGCTTCCAGCTAGCTTCCTGCCAGATGAGTGCCTTTCCGGCCCAATCCATTCAACCTACACCCCAATTCCCACTTCAGCAATTTGTGCCACAGGATTTAATGGCTCTGCCCCAACACGAATCTCAGTACAGTGCTTGTCCCCCGCCACCACAGGCTCAGCAGCAGTAGATCTTTGTTGCACAAGAGATATTTCTCTGTTACCTGGAGAGCCACCTATTGCTGTTCCCACAGGTGTTTTTGACCCCTTGCAGACTGGCAGTGTTGGTTTGCTATTTAGTCGCTCAAGCCTAAATTTAAGAGGTGTTCAAGTACATACTGATGTAATTGATTCTGACTATTCAGGTGAAATTCATATTGTCATTAGCTCTGCAGTCCCTTGGTATGTGGCAGCTGGAGACCACGTCGCTCAACTTCTTATACTCCCTTACATTCCTTTAGGATCCACTTCTTGTACAAGAACCGGAGGTTGTGGTAGCACAGACTATCATGGCAAAGCAGCTTATTGAGTCAGCAAAATTTCTGACACTCGTCCTGTGTGCTCCTTGCATATTCAAGGAAGGAAGTTTGAGGGAATGATTTATATGGGCGTTGATGTCTCCATTATCACTTTACATCAGTGGCCCTGACACTGGCCAAAGGAACACACGTCCACAGCATTAGTTGGTGTTGGTCAGGCTTCAGAAGTCTATGAAAGTTCTATAATTTTATACTGTATGGGCCCAGAAGGACAGATTGGTACTATCTGCCCCCTCATTACACTCGTTCCTGTTAACCTGTGGGGAAGAGATCTTTTACAACAATGAGGGGCAAAGATTTCTTTTCCACAAGGCAATTATAGCCAGCAGAGTAAAGACATTATGACCAAAATGTATGGGCTTAGGAAAATCAGCAGAAGGCATCACCGAGCCTATTATACCTACCCATAAATCAGATTCTACGGGACTTGGTTATTCTTTTTAGAAGGAGTCACTGTCAAACCTCCAGATCCCATCCCTTGACTTGGAAAACTCAGAAACTGTTTTGGGTAGATCAGTGGGCGCTCCCTAAAAATAAGCTGGAGGCACTCCATATTTTGATTCTTGAACAGTTAAAATTGGGACACATCGAACAATCTTTTTCTCCCTGGAATTCACTTGTCTTTGTTATCCAAAAGAAATCTGGTGAGTGGAGAATGCTTACTGATCTTAGAGCAGTAAATGCTGTCCTTCAGCCTGTGGGGACATTACAACCCAGCTTGCCTTTCTCCACTATGATTCCCAAGTACTGGCCACTTATCATCATTGATCTTAAAGACTGCTTCTTCAACATTCCTCTGGCCCCTCAGGACTTTGAAAAATTTACTTTCACAGTTCGAACCCTTAACAACATCACTCCCACAGCGCATCCTTAACAACATCACTCCCACAGCGCATTACCATTGGAAAGTCCTACCTCAAGGAATGGTTAATAGCCCTACTATTTGTCAATATTATGTGGGGAGCATATGAAAACCAGTAAGAGATCAGTTTCCCCAATATTATATCATTCATTACATGGATGATATTTGTGGAGTACCTTCACGTTCTGTATTAATATCTTGTTTCTCTGCAGTACAACAAGCAGTCGTAACAGCTGGTTTGGTTATTGCCCCAGAAAAAATCCAAACTTCTTCTCCTTATCAATATTTAGGAATGCAGCTAGAAGACAAGATTATTAAGCCCCAAAAGGTTCAACTCAGATGAGACTCTCTAAAAACTCTAAATGATTTACAAAAATTGCTTGGAGATATTAATTGGATTCACCCCTCCTTGAGCATTCCTACCTATGCTATGTCTAATCCTTGCAACATTATGGGGCATTCCTGATTTATGCAACAAAATGCCTTTGACCCCTGAGGCAGATTCTGAATTACAACTTACAGAAAAATGCATTCAACAATCTCAGGTAACCAGGGCGAATCCACATTTACCTTTTGAAATACTAATCTTTCCTACTAAACATTCATTCAGCAACAGGACTCATTATCCAGGGACATAATTTAATTGAATAATGCTTTCTTCCACACAGCTCTTTATAGACGCTTATCATTTATCTAGATCAAATTTCCATCCTAATTGGTCAAGCTCATTCTCATCTCCTAAAATCATTGTTCCCCTCACCCGATTACAAGTCCAACAGGCTTTTGCAATCTGCATTTCTTGGCAAGTACATTTGGCATGTTTCCCGGGTGTGTTTGACAATCATTATCCTAATGTAAAACTGTTTCAGTTCTTTAAACTTCTTAGGTCTTACCTAACATTACTACGGATACCCCATTAGCTGAAGCTGTCACTGTTTTTACTGATGCTTCCTGTAATGGCCGAGCAGCATATACAGGACCAAAAGAACGTGTCCTTAACTCAGGAGCTGCTTCAGCACAATGAGCTGAGATGATCATCATCATGGCTGTTCTTGAATATTTCCCTGAACCAGTTAACATTTTTTCTGATTCGGTGTATGTAGTACATGTTGCTTGCAACATTGAAACTGCCTTAAACATATTTCTGCCTGATGATAACCTACTTTTTCTTTTCCAAAGGTTTCAGTCCATACTCAGAGCAAGGTCTTCTCCCTTCTACATTACTCACATTACGGCTCACACGCCCCTCCCAGACCCCTCTCAGCAGCAAATGCGAGTGCTGATACATTAGTTGCTCCCGTTTTTTACAGACGCAGAAAATTTTCATGCTTTAATTCATGTCAATGCTGCGGGACTCTGAAAAAAGTCCTCCCTCACGTGGAAACAAGCTAAAACCGTTGTATGTCACTGTCTTGCTTGTCAAGTGTTAATTTTACAGCCACTTTCCTCAGGAGTTAATCCTAGAGGACTTTCACAGAGTGCTCTATAGCAGATGGATGTGACTCATTATCCAGCTTTCAGCAAACTCTGTCTTATACATGTAACTATTGACACTTTTTCTCATTTTATCTGGGCCACATGTCAAACAGGGGAAAGTACGGCTCATGTTAAACAGCACATGCTTTCACGTTTCTTGGTTATGGGCTGTCCTGAGAAACTAAAAACTGAAAATGGTCCTGGTTACGTTAGCAATGCTTTTAAAAAGTTCACTCAGAAATGGGAAATTACTCACACAACTGGCATTCTGTATAACTCTCAAGGATAGACATTGGTAGAACGAGCTAATAAAATGCTTAAAGACCAACTTTGAAAACAGGACACTAAACCGAAAAGGGATGCTGCTACCCCTCATACTCAGTTAAATTTGGCTTTCTCCACTAAATTTCTTAAACCTAGCAAGAAGTCAACCTTTTACAGCAGCAGAACAACATTTCACTGGAAATAAATTTGATCCACAAAAAGGAAAGCGGGTATGGTGGAAGGATGCAAAAACTGACAAATGGGAATTAGGTACGGTGGTAACATGGGGTAGGGGTTTCGCTTGTGTTTCTCCAGGAGAAGGACAACAACCCGTGTGGGTTCCCTCCCAGCAACTGAGATTGCATTATAACTCCAAGGATGGTAGAACTCTCAGAAACAAAAGGCAAAGAACCGTCAGAAAGCAAAGAGCAAGGTTTGTCACCTGACACATAAAACTCCATGACCTCGACATTACAACAAATATCGCCGTGTGACCTACAACACCATCATTCTACTCTACCACATGGCCAGATAAAAGTCTTATCACATCAAACAGAGAAATTACTACAGAAGAAGGAATTCCAAAAAATGACGGGTAATATAATTCTGGCTGCCTTATGGTGGTCAGTGCAGTGGATGAGTATACCAGAGGTTGGGGCAACTCAAAATTATACCTACTGGGCATAGGTTCCTTTCCCTCTTTAATTCAGCTGTCTCCTGATAGACTCCTCAGTGGAAGTTACACCAATAATAGTGCATTCAACACCGGTCCCCGATATGACAGGTTTCCAGCCTAACCAGAAGAAGAAGGTATGCACTTTAATTGTCAATTGGCTACAAATATCCACCACTGTGCATTGGGAATTGCCTGGGCTGCTTAGCTTATTATAAGAACTGGATGTGACCATACCGTCCTCTAGTAATATTTTATCAAGTGCATATGTGTCAGTAGCAATCTTTCCAACTCATGAATGTTAAACTTAATCCACATGAGGAATGGAGATTCCTGTCACTACTAAAAAGCAGTAAAACAAAAGGACTGCAACTGCTCAAATGAACCTACCAAAGGACATTTCTAGTAAATTCAATTTTATGGAATTATTATAATCGTCTAAAAGCCATAGTGTTCCAAAATCAGCTACAGGTGTGTTATTGACTGGATCAAGAGGTTATTATGGAGAATTGCTCTGGCCAAAATACCAAATGCTCGGAGTTTAATTATTTGTTAGATATGTGGAGGACTGATGGCAGTCCTACAGGTTGAAGGAACGGGTGCCTCCTTATCGATTTTAAATGGATGGACACAGAATCATTCCTCCTAGACCAAAAAATATTCATCCAGTTGTACCCTAGAACATCCTGAATTATGAAATTAGCTGCAGCCATGACAGGATAAGGATATGGAATGCTACCTATCAATTCTCCCTACTATACCGAGACACCCATATTCAAGATCACCTTGGATGTCAGAACAGGTATACCTATCAGGAGCTGTGTCCAAACCCCCTTATATGCTGTTAGTTGGAAATACAGTTATCACTCCCAATGCACAAACTATGTAATGTGATGATTGTAAGCTGTTCCACGTGTATTGATGCGTTTTTAATCCCAGAACAAGTATTTCTTGTAAGGGCTAAGGAGTATTATGGATACCAGTCTATTTACATCATACATGGGGAGTCTTCCCCCTCTATATACATAGTCAATGAAGTTCTTAAGGATATCCTCAAAAAACCAAGAGATTCATTTTCACTCTTACTGCAGTCATTCCAGGACTAATTGCGGTGCTGAATAGCGGCAACTCTGGAGTTGCTATCACAACTCTGTTCAAACCGCTCAATATGTGGAAGCATGGCAAAAAAAAACCCACCAAACTCTGAAATTCTCAGACTCAAGTTGATCAAAAATTGGCTAATTAAGTTAATTATTTCCGCCAGAGTGTAATCTGACTGGAAGGAGATTTGAATCTGGAACACCGTATGCAATTACAGTGCGATTGGAATACTTCCGATTATTGCATAATGGCTTATGCTTATAATAAAGATCAACATAGCTGGGAAAAAGTCTCAAAACATTTAAAAGCCTGGGATGATAACTTAATGTTAGATATTTCAAAACTTAAAGAACAAATTGTGAGGCCTTACAGGCTCATTTAACTACGTTCCTGCTCAGACATTTTTGAAGAGTAACTAAAGGATTATCTATCTTAATCCCTTAAATGGGATCAAACCCCTCAGAGATCATTGTTCATTGGCATATTAATACTGTATGTTTACGTTGTCTACTTTTAGTCTGCAGATGTCTCCAAAGAGTCCGAGGACAAGTCCAAAATCAACGACAAGCAATGATGGCCAGTGACGATCCTAGTCAATAAAAAGGGGGAATGTGGGGTGTAAGCCACCCAGTGCTGAGGCAAGAGACCAAAGGCATGAGCTGTTCAGTGATAAAAATAAAATATATAGAATAATAATAGTTTATACTAGAAATATAGAATGATTATATATTAATATTAATCATTTAGTTGTAGCATTACTCTTTATTCCAATATTATTAATCATCTCTGTTCTTACAATTATAACCTAGGAAAAAACCAGCCATACAGAGACAGGAGCTGAAGGACACGGTTGAGAAGTGACCAGAAGTCAAGAGTGTGAGCCCTCTGTCATGCATGGACAGGGTTACTAGATGGCTCCTTGCTCTAGCTGGTAACGCCAGTGCCTGGGAAGGCACCCATTACTTAGTGGACCGGGAAAGGGAATCTCCCTTTCCCCTGGGAGAGAAGACTCTGCTCCACTACCTCTTGTGGCAAGGCCTGACATGAATCAGGGCCCGCCACAGCCATCTGAAGGCCTAAAACGTCTCCCTGTGATGCTATGCTTCAGCGTCACACTCCTGTGTACTTTCATGTTCTGCTCTGCGCCAACCTGCCCCGCATTCTAGATAGCAGTAGCCAGAATTAGTGAAAATACTAAAGTCTTTGATCTTTCCAAGAAATACATAGAAGAAATAATGATGTAAGCTGTCCCCTCTCTCTCTTCCACTTGGTTACCAAATAGGGAAGGGCCCCCTGTCCCGTGCGACATGTGACTCGCGTGACCTTACCTATCATTGGAGATGACTCACACTACTTACCCTGCCACCTTGCCTGTATACAATAAATAACAGGTGCAGCCAGGCATTCGAGGCCACTACCAGTCTCCGCATCTTGGTGGGTGGTTCCCCGGGCCAGCTGTCTTTCTCTCTCTGTCTTGTTTCTTTATTTCTACAATCTGTTGGTCTCCGCACATGAGAGAAAAACTCACAGCCCCTATAGGCTGACCCTACAGAAAGCCATCCAGGTTGCCGAGCAAGCACTGAAGGCACAAGCTGTTCCAATATAATAAAGAAAATAGGGGTAAAAGAAATTATGTAGACATAGGATATAGAGATGATTATATATGGATATTACAATTATTATTTTTAGTATTAATCTTTATTATTATAATAGAGAAAACCAGCCATACAGAGCAAGAGCTGAAGGACATTGTGAGAGATGACCAGAAGACAGGAGTGTGAGCCCTCCGTCACACCTGGATAAAGGCCGCTTGAGGACTCCTTGGTCTAGTGTAGCACCAGTTCCTGGGAAGGCACCTGTTACTTTAGCAGACCTTGGTCTAGCGTAGCGCCAGCGCCTGGGAAGGCACCCGTACTTAGCAGACCGGGAAAGGGAGTTTCCCTTTCCTTGGGGGAGTTAGAGAACACTGCTGCTCCACCAGCTCTTGTTGAGGCCTGATATCAGCCAGGCGTGCCCATAGTCATCTGAGGCTAAATGTCTCCCTGTGGCGCTGTGCTTCATCGATCATGCTCCTGTTCACTTTCAATTCCGCCTGTACACCTGTGCCTCTTTTAAGTTCCTAGAAGATAGCCAGTAGCAGAATTAGTGAAAGTATTAAAATCTTTGATCTCTCTGATAAGTGCTTTAAAAAACGCTGACATATGCTGTCCTCCCCCCTCTGCTTCAACTACCACAAAGGGAAAGGCCCCCTGTCTAGTGACACATGACTTGCTTGACCTTATCAATCACTTGGAATTGATTCACTCTCCTACCTGCCCCTTGCCTTATATTCAAAAATAGCAATGCTTCCAGGCATTCTGAGCCACTACTAGACTCTGTACATTGTGGTAGTGGCCCCCTAGGCCCAGCTGTCTTTCTTACTCACTCTGTCTTGTGTCTTATTTTCTATATCTCTTGTCTCCACACATGAAGAGAAAACTCACAGGCCCTGTAGGGCTGGACCCACGAGTCAGATGCGGTATGAATTGGCTGCATTCAAGTTTACTGTTTTAGGTCACTATATGAGGTCTGATGACTTTTCCATTCACTTGGCTTAGTCAGATGTGGTATGAAGGCCGCTGCACTCAAGTTGACCTTGTGTACATCACTATCCAGAGTCTCACTACTTTTCAATCACTTGGTTTACTCCGATCCATATGAAGATCACTACATTCAGGTTCGCCCTGTGTACATCACATCCAACATCTGACTACTGTCCATTCACTTAGTTCAATCAGTGCGATATGAAGATTGCTGCATTGAAGTTTACCATGGATTTGGCCAGGCATGGTGGCTCACACCCATAACCCCAGCATCTGGGAGCCAAGGCGGTGGACTGCCGAGCTCAGGAGTTCAAGCAAAGGTCATGCCACTGCACTCCAGCCTGGGCAACAGACTGAGACTGCGTCTCCAAAATAAAGTAAATAAAATAAAAAATAAATGAAATGGTAAAGTTGGCATCTCAAGAGGTGGGAAAAGGCAAATTATTCCGTAAATGGTACTGAGACAACAGTGTAACCATCCTCTGGGGAACACTGATAAAGTTCAGTCACACTTTCATCTGAATATCGGGAAAATTTTTAAACTATGGAGTCCCTGAGTTCCAGGCTGCAGTGACTATGACAGGCCCTGTACTCCAGCCTGATGACAGAGTAGACCCGTGTTTAAAAAAAAAAACAAAGGTCAGGCAATATTTGGAGGGTATTTTTTTTTTCTTTCAATTGATATACGTAGGGCCATGTTTCCCAGGCCTGATCTCCCTGGACTCAAGCGATTCTCTGACAGGACCACAGGTGTACACCAGTGAGCCTGGCTTGGTCACTTTTCTTTGTAGGAAGAGTATAAATATACACAAATTCACAGATAAATTGTACTATGTAGTAAAGGTGGCATCTCAAGTTGCTGGAGGAGACAGAACTGGCTATCATGGTAGGCTTCATGGACACGCAATCCATGAGTTCAAAAGAGCCCAATTTGGGTTTAGTGCTGGTGTTCATGTCTTTTTTATTTTATTTTTATTTTTTATTTTTATTTTAGATGGATTTCACTCTACCCAGGCTGGAGTGCAGTGGCACAAACACAGC